CATCTGTTTTGGTTCTGATTATCATGTTTATCGCGCTGAAATCATGCACTTTAAACCATATGAGTTTAAACTTCAGATATAAGGTTTTCTGAGCGCACACATCTGAAGCACACGCACAGAAAGCGGCTGTCACAGCATGCGAGCACTAAACTAAGCTCTCATTCACACACAAGTTTACCTTAAAAACACACACGAGTTACAAAAACAGTGGGTTATGTCTGTGAAGGTAAACAGCTGGGAAATAAATCACATGTTTATTTTAGATCTGTGTGGCAGCAGCAATATACAGTAAATAAATCAATAAATGCACTGCTCTGTCGTCTCCTCTGAGGCTGGGACTCTAAACAGTGTTCTCTGCTCGTCTGTGCAGCCAAACACAGAACAGTTAGCATGTTCTGCTCAAACTTTCTCCATGGCATTAGAACTAGTACACCGTTGTCGCTTGCAAAAACACGGCGGTAAACTTACAGATTAAGGGGCGGTAATATTATAATGAGATCCCGTTGCCACGTCACCAAGGGAGAGAAATCAGACGCACTCGTTTTGCAGAAAAAGGCTTCCCAAAACAAAAGTTACTGGGCTAATCTTTTTCATGTTTCCTCGGTTGGTAGATGCACCGGGACCTGATTATAGCACTTAAAACCTGGAAAAGTCAGATTTTCGTGATATGTCACCTTTAAGTTGAATGTGTTGCAAATCTGACTGTCCACCTTTATAACCATGTGCATTCTTTGTCTCTTTATAATTTTGAATTTTTGACTTGTACATATGAACTCCTGTGGCTGCATCTGACCATCTGCTTTGCTATAGCTTAGTTGTTCTCAAAGTTTTTTTTTTGTCCCATGGTACACCTTTGTGATTATGAAATTCATCTTTGAAACTTTGCAGGTTTTTACATTCACACACAGCTTTATTACACCCTGAAATCTAATATCTGAACAATTATAAACTTTATTGACTTCTGTCTTGCTGAGACAAATGTTGCAATGTAAATGAAAGCTGATAAATAACAGGATGAGTAAAATAATAAATGTTAAACTGCATTATTTGATTCATCTTTAGTTTAGTGAATGCACACAAATGTAGTCACAATATAAGTTCAGCCCAACAGAGATGAGCACCTCTCTGAATATACAAATGTGTATCTTCCTGGATCCCAGCTACAGTATCACAGTGTCAGCAGACGCTGGCGCTAATTCTCAGATTAAATAAACAATTGTGACCTGTGCTGGCAAAATGAGTCACAATTAGTTATTTTTATGTTCACATTTATGACCGAGTTTAGACACCCCTGACCTGTAGCATAGTATTACATCCTTCATATCTCTGATGAGTCTTGAGTTTTAGCAGATTTATAAAAGGCAGGTATGTTACTCAATGTTA